GACAAAAATGTTCTAGGAAGGGGCATAAACAGTAAAGGCTTCTTCGCTTTGTACTTATGACCAAAGATTGGTTTGGTTTTCATTCATTCATCCTTAGGGAACAAATTTCTAACAAGAGAGTACAGTTTTCCCCAGTTCTACATTTTAACAACAACAACAACAAAAACAATGTATTGAGCCCGTGTACAAGGACCCTGAGCTAGTACTTTATATTCTTTATTCCATTTAAGGAAAAAGCCAAGTCCCTGTCATTAAGGACCTGACAGCCCATCTGGAAAGACAGAATTATATTCAAAGTTAGGGATTTTACTGAAATATTTAATAACTGGGCTGGACACCAAGCTGTGAGAAGGGATGTCAGTTGTAAAACCCCAGATGAGCCATGCAGGTGCCCCTCAGCAACAGGTTGGCCCTGGTTGTACCATCCATGTGGGGGGAGCCCTCTACTGCAAGTATTAACAGGAAGTCATTAGGTCGGCCCTGGGAGGTTAGAGATTCAGCCACAGAGGAAATCTGGGGGGATCACATCCCCTTGGATGGTCAGAGTTTTATATTATGCATTTCCTGATGACCAGAACTTCATCTAAACTTTTTCTAAAATACTCTGAGTGTTGTACTCCTTGCATTTAAGACGTGATGTTTCATGTATGGAGGGTTATGATATCACATCTCAAAAGGTAATTTTTGCTACCGGAGTACGTCCCATTTTGGTATGTTATAACATTTTTGTTCGGCACACCTGACTGTTAGCATGGCCTCTTCTAGTCTGATGGGTGGTGTTCAGTCCCGCTGGTGGGTAACATTTGCATTTAGAAAATCTGAACAACCATTTGTTCCTAAGGGGATTACCTAACTAAGAAAAATAGGACCCCAGCATTCATTATTTTGGAGCAAACATTTCATCTTCTACATCAAAACACTCCATCTACCAAAGCATAGGTATATCACCAAAAATTATCCTCTGAATCAGGCTTTCTCAGTCTCTGCACTGTTGACATTTGGGGCCAGATGATTTTGTCCTGAGCATGGCCTGATATTCAGCAGCATCCCCAGCTTCTACCCACCAGCTGCCCATAGCACCTGTCCCTCCTGCAGCGTGACAACCAGAAATGTCTCCAGATATTCCCCAAATGGCCCGAGGGTTGTGGATGAGAGTAGGGAGTGATGTAAATCATTGCTGGTTGAGAACCACTAATGCAAGTAAAATTTAAGGGTCCCAGAGTCCTTTTCTGCAAATGGCTGTTATAACCGCTGGGTTTTTTTTTTCCTTGTGAGGTCGATCTGAGAATTACTCCAAGTTTTTGTTAAAAAAAACAAACAAACAAACAAATCTCCATTGAGTCCTCTTCCCAGATGAGTGAGGCAGGATGGTGTACTTTGGTTAGGCAGTGGGGTTTGGGGAGCCTAGTTGTGCCTGGGTGTGAATACCAGATCTGCCCCCATTTAGCTTTGTGACCTTGGACAATTTATGTAAACCTCTCTGAGCCTCAGTGGTCTGTCTTACAAAATGAGGCTCTAAGTAGTAACTCCCTGTAGGGCTGTTGGGCAGACTCACTCTCAGGCACATAAGCATTTGATGGATAGAAGGATGGCTGGATAGAAGGTGGTCAATTTGGCTTTCTAAAAGCCCATGATCCTGCAAAATTCTGTCTTTGTGGGACTCCAAAAGGCAAAACTCATCCACTCACTTGATCATGAGTACTAACAGTACATTCATCAAGTATAACTTTTTTTTTTTAATGAAAAAAGCATAAATCAATAGTACAGTGATTTGGTTTTGCTTCAAGTTACAGCAAAGGATCACCCGATGTGAGTCACTGATGTACAGTCATACAGTACAGCTGTGACTATCCCAAATTTAGTCATTTCCATGTGAACTTGCAGTTAAATGATTAACCTATATTATAAGTGCTATTTAAAAAAAAGCCTCTGATGATGCCTTTCCCATCCTGGTCTGGTGTTACACCTTTGGGTGACCTCTAATTTTGATTTGTTAAGATTCAAAAAGACAGTTTGATCCTTTCTGTCCGAGGCTTTCCCTCAGTCTTTTATTAGCCTGGGAGGTCCCCCCCTCGCCCGGCCTGTGGCAGGTGCACACTCCTCAGCATTGTTGGCACGTTCCTTTTCTGGGTACCCCAGACAGGAGGGAGCTTGCTGCCATGCGTCTGTCTGTGGGCGTGCCCTTGACCCACCCCTCCCTCCTCCTCTCTGACCTCCGCGATACAGGAACAGTGAACAGATTTCCTACCCAGAGGGTGTATCAGGAAACCACCGATGAAATCAACAGAGATACAGCAGTTTTTACAGAGGCTGAAACTCACAGAATTGGAAACGCGATGTGTCAACAGAAGAACTTGACTGGTTCTCGTCAGTGCAAAGACAGATGTGGGATCCAGACAGCTCTTTCTACTTCTGTTTCTGCTATTTAATGGCAGTCCCCCATCCTCACAAAGACATGATAACATTAGGGGATTGGACGGAGTGTCCTTCATAACAGTTACAACTAGCTTTATCACTTACTGAATGTTTATTCTAAACCAGACGCTGGGAATAAGTGCTTCATAAATGTAACCTCACTGAACCCTTCCAACAACCCTCTGAAGCAGGTGTTGCTCCCATTCTACAGATGAGAAAACTGAGACTCAGAGAAGTTAAGCAAGTTACCCCACACACACACACATAAAAAAACAAGTGATGGAACCAGAATGCAAACCCTTGGTACACTCCACCATCCTCACCCTAGCGGCGACGGCCACCGCGAATTAAGTCTGTGTCATTCCAGTTCACTTAGGCTATTATAGGCACATCTATGAAATCCATTTTCCATAAACTTTTAAGATTTCAGGTGGGGAAACAGCTTTGCCTTCTAGACTTGAAGGCTCTCAGTCTCATACCATTAACTTCTTTTGCAAACCCAGTTGCCATCTCATTATTTCAAATTCCTTAAATAACCTGGAGCCCTTCACCGTTTAAGTAGGGCTTTTGCCTGCAGGGAGGATGTTTGCTCTCGATGCAGGGACTTGCTGAATGGAGGCAAAAGCTCTAGTATTTCCCATTTGTAAGTGATAAGAGGGGGAGGTGGTGGCTTTCAGAGATCATGTTTCAAGTCCGGCCCTGGTTTTTATGTGTGTGGGAATGGACGCAAAGAAAAACACAGCTGAGCTGCATTGTGGTTCTTCCTGTAGAACCTGTTCATGCCCAGGGTGAGTAAACCTGGGGTAGCAATGTCTCCCTGAGACAGTCTCCAGTGAAATTTGTGCCTGGATTCGAAGCAGCTTATTTCCCGGGAAGTATCATCAGGATCCCCGCTCCGGCCCATTTAAAAGAATGTGTCTCCCTTCTGGGAAGATCTGCCAGGGAGAACTTCGCCCTCTTTCTCCCTGATTGGAGGAAGGAGTAGAACTGGGGAGGTGTCACCCGCTAGAGTTGCTGATGTTGGTAGCGTGTCAGCCGTGGGAGGCTCTGTTTGTGAAATTGAGTTACACCTCAGTGTCTTATGAAACTCAGAACTCACTGGAGCTGCTGTCTGGGAGAGGGGAGGTGGAGCGAGCCTTGGGATTTTCCTTCACATTTCTGTCCTGTTTTTGGAATCTGGATGAAAAGAAATGAAAGCGTCCAGTCTACGGACGTTTTAGGAAATGGGTATGTAGCTTTAAGCTTTCACTAATAACTCTTGCCACCTGGGTGATTGTTGTAGTTACACTGACTGTGTGATCAGACCACGAAGGGCTGTGTTCTTAGCGTGTGCTGGTTTCTCTCACTGTGTTTGGGGTTGGGGGTCCAGGTTGAACGCTTTTGTCTCCTGGTTACATGTGCATAGGAACTTTTAGTTCGTGCTGTTCCTTTACATGAGGTTCACATGTTTGTGAAAATCTTGGCTCCTGTACTTCAGGAAATGGTTGTGTTGATGGTGCTTTGCAATTAGACAATTCAAATGCTCCTCAAACTCCGGCCAAAGTCTACTAATAATCAATAGTGGGACAAATTCCAAGTTGAGAGGAAAAGCTGAGGCTCAGGCTAGTACCAGGGGGTAAGAAAATACAGCAGGCACTCGGCCTCGGGAATGGGCTGCTTTTTACAAATTATTTGATTTTCAAATGCACGTTGCTAGCTCACTTCTCTTTCTTCCAACCAATTGGCAAATGACACCGAGTGCAGCATTAGAAGGTCAGCAGTGGGGGGGGGGACCTGGGTGGCTCAGTCGTTAAGCGTCTGCCTTCGGCTCGGGTCATGATCCCAGGGTCCTGGGTTCGAGCCCCACATCGGGCTCCCTGCTCTGTGGGGAGCCTGCTTCTCCCTCTCCCATTCCCCCTGCTTGTGTTCCCTCTCTCACTGTCTCTCTCTGTCAAATAAATAAATAAATAATCTTTAAAAAAAAAGGTCAGCAGTGGGAATATAGAAGTGGGTTCTATTTACAAAAACTGGAGGCTCTAGCTCAGAAACCAAGAGGGCAACCCCACATTACTCCCCTCCCCACCTCGGCTCCAGTTCCTGGCACTAGGTTTCTGTCGCATTTAGGGGAACTCTCGTAGGCGGGCAACTGGTATCACAGAGAATCACCCCTGCTTGGGGTCCCGTTTTACTTTCACTTTGCATTCTTTTGAAATTTCATCCGTGGTTCTGCTGAAACATCCCTTTGAATATCTTTCCATTTGAATATGAAGTCAACATCTTTGATCAGAAGGCATGTGCTTACTGGAATCTGTGAGGATTTCCTAACTATTTTTATTTAGTTGAGTCAGAGGAAAAAGAGTATGCATGTTCCCCACACTGGCCTGGTTTTAGCGTTCAAGGTAGATTTACTCTTGAGGTGAAGATTACTGTCAGAGAAAGGAATAAAATGGTTTCAGGTTGTTGATTTGCAACAAGACTGCATCACATATCCGTGCTTCGCCTTAGTGTACCTTCTTGATTATTTGATGATGAAGCTGAGTTCCAGATTTAGGAAAAATCAGCATTAATTAAAGCTGTGCGTCTTTTCTGCATTCTTGATTTTGTAGTTATTCCAATGGAAACAGCTGGAGAACCTATATTTCCGTGAGAAAAAATTTGCCGTTGAAGTTCACGATCCACGGAGGTGAGGACAACAGCCTTTTCTTTATATGGTCGCAGTGACAATCCCAGTAACCCTGCTGCCAGGGACACTCATGTGCACATTTTTGTGCTGACATGTTTTCATTTCTCCTGGGTAGAGCTGGGAGGGGGATTGCTGGGTAACTCTACCATTTTGCATTCCCACCAACAACGTCTGTGGTTCCCTTTTCTCCACATCCTCCCTAACACTTGTTACTTATAGTTGTGCTCTTGTTGTTTTTTTAATAGTCACCCTAGTGGCGTACAGTGATAGCCCATTTTGGCTTGGATTGGCATTTCCCTCATGACTAATGATGGCTAAGCATCTTTTCATGTGCTCTTTGGCCACTTGTATATCTTCTCTAGAGAAATACCTGTTCAGATCCTTTGCTCATATTTTTAATTTGGTTTTCCTGGCCACTTCTAAAACAACAGTTGCCAAGTTACTGCCACGGATTGAAGTCAGGATTGGAGGCTCTCCGAGCTCTTCAGAGGAATTCATTATCAGTCCTCAGTGTTTGCCTTTCAGATACGTTTATGGATGCTTGGAGGTCAGAGGGATTGGGGAAACAGCTGTGACAAAAAGAGGACCAAGAGATAAGCCAAATTCCTACAAAGAACATTGGTACCCTTCTCTCTCCTTCCCCACAGCGTCTGCCTGCCCCCCTTTCCTTCTCCTTGCACCCTCTCCTCCTCTGACCCTCTCTCCTCTTCTTATCTGGTACATAAGCAGTACACTGGACCAGTTTCAGACTTGCATATCTGCAGACAATATTATCATGTTCATCCTCTGATAATGTCAGAGCTGCATAAGTCTACCTAGATCTGAAATGCTATTTACCTCGAGGGAGGTGTTGACCCTGCCCTCTCGGTTGCGTTATCTTTGAAATATTATCCCCTTGATTCCTGACCTCTTGTGATGGTCACACATCCTCTGGTTTTTAAGTAAATGTTTTTAGTACAGCCCCTTATTTGAGTAGTTCTTACCTTTGGAGTATGTGCGTATGCATTTTTGAACATGCTAGTTTAAAAAAAAAAAAAGAGATTATCCAGGTGCAACGGGTTTCTTCATAAAAGGAGAAAATCAGAAGCTTGGCTCCTCTCAACATCCGAGTGCGGCCACAGGAAAACAAATAAGAAGATACTTCATGATCACATTCCTCACTGGGTACATTTTGTGGTGCGCTGGGCCAGAGGTGAATAAATCGAATGCTTTCCTTAATCTTTCAGGATTTCTGTGTCAAGAAGAACCTTTGGGCAAAGTGGCCTCTTCGTGCAAACGTGGTATGCAAACCCTTCTCTCATCAAGTCCATCTGGGTAATGGCAATTAGTCAGCATCAGTTTTACTTGGACCGGAAGCAAAGCAAAGTAAGTCACTAGAGCGTTTCTGTAGGAACAGACTTCCCTCCTTCATTTGCTTTCTGCTCAGAAGATAAGCTTCCTCAGAAAAGACGCAAGCACAAGGGATTTTGTTCTTTGAGTTTTTGCTTTTTAAACTTTCTGACCAACTGTTTTAATTTTTCTTACATTTAAAAGAGGAGCAGTATATAGCCTGATTTAGAAGTTGTGAGACGTGCCAACTTTTCTTTGGCACATGTATACGTGAACACAGGTGACATTTTAAAGTTCATGATTGAACTGTACCATGAGAGAGATTCATGCATATTTAAACATTTTCGTTGTAAAGCTTAAGTCTTGTATTTTTTTCTTCTGAAGTGTCACTTGGGCATGTAAAAATTCTAAATTGTCCTCTGTGTTGACATACTTATTCCATAGTAACTTAATCATTTTATTAATTTGAAATAAGTTCAGTTGAATGAATTCTGTTTCCATGTTGTATACCCCTTAGGCAAAAATTCCTTCAGCCAGGAGTTTAGACGATATTGCGATGGATTTGACCGAGACAGGAACACCGAGGGTCTCCAAAATGGTGACACTGGAGGCCAAAACTCAGTTCATCATGGCGAGCAATGGCAGTTTAATCTCTTCAGGTAACATTTTGGGAAAGTACAGATGATTTTTATTTTTCACTTTTTTTGGTCTTAAACTACTTTTGGGGGTCATAAACCACTTTTAAACGCATTTTAGACCCATTATTTGGGGAGTAAATAAGCCTATCAAAACCTGCAGCATGCAGCATAAGCCAATGTATTAAAAAGTAAAAGGAAAGTTCAATTATAAATAGTCAGCTTGCATAAACAACACTGGTTACAAAGATAGTGAACTCCTCAGGGTAACTTGAAAGGACATTTTCTCCCCATCTATTCTATCAGCTTCTTCTTCTCCCAATATTTAGTTTTTGATTCAGACAGTTGTCTAATGCTCTACTTAATATATAGACAAACATGACTACAAGCTTCAAACCTCACCCCAACCCCACCTCCCAGTGTGATTGCTGCCCTGAAGCCGTTCCTCTGTACCTGTATATGTGGACAGAGGTGACATTTTAAAGTTAATGATTGAACTGTACCATGAGAGAGATTCATTCCAAATTCTGGAATCTCTTATCACCAAGTATATGTAACTGAACTCAGATGAACTTTCCCATCTAAATCCTATTGTCAGCTCTTAATCTAGGCACAGAACACTCCTTTGCTTGGCTTGCTTGCTTTCTACAAGGACATTCTAAGCAACTATCTCCAGGAACATCTTACCTTCTCTCTTGCTCAGAAAATTGAAATTCTTCCTTGACTGTGTCTGAAACATTAAGCATTTTATCATTGCTTCTAGAATGACTGAGCCAAAACACAGAAGGTATATATAATTACCAGGCTGTGTTGGATGCCCAGAAGCATGAGAAAATGTTCTCCAGTTTCCTTTTATTATGTTCGGAAACAAGGAGAAAAGAAATAAATTATTATTTAATAGCAGGTCGGGCTTAAAAATCCTTTGTCCTTTAAAAAAGGAAGGAAACATGCCTTGTATAAACCTTCCCTGCCCTCCCTTCCAATCCCTCCAGGTTCTCAAGACTCAGAAGTTAGCGAGGAGCAAAAGAGAGAGAAAATCCTGGAGCTCAAGAAGAAGGAAAAGCTCTTGCAGGAAAAACTCCTGAAAAAAGTCGAGGAGCTTAAGAAGATCTGTTTGCGGGAGGCTGTGAGTGTCTTCTGCTTTGGGGGGACTTGTCACATTATGTTTGACAATCTGGCCAATGTCAATTATCCCCCTCTCGATTCTGTCCCATTTTACAGGAGCTCACCGGCAAAATGCCAAAAGAATATCCGCTGAGCGTAGGTGAGAAACCGCCTCAGGTCAGAAGGCGTGTAGGCACTGCGTTCAAATTGGATGACAACCTGCTGCCAAGTGAACAGGTATGAGCACCAGCTCTGAGCATTTCTGTTAACAGCCGGACAGAAAAGCCCTCAGCTGAATGTGGCTGACTTGTTTCTTTGGTTTTTGAGTTCCTGCTGTACCTTTCTATCTCGCCACTTGAAAGTGATATAGTAGGGGCGCCTGGGTGGCTCAGTTGGTTAAGCAACTGCCTTCGGCTCAGATCATGATCCTGGAGTCCCTGGATCGAGTCCCGCATCGGGCTCCCTGCTCGGCAGGGAGCCTGCTTCTCCCTCTGACCCTCCCCCCTCTCATGTGCTCTCTCTCTCTCATTCTCTCTGTCTCAAATAAATAAATAAAATCTTTAAAAAAAAAAAAAAGAAAGAAAGTGATATAGTAGACCAAATCGAATTCTTTCTTTCATGCACAGTCCAATTACAGTTGAGTTATTTCTCATTACTTTACTCCTCCCAAGCACAGAGAGTGTTAAACAAACCCCAAATGTTTATAACTGAGAACCATGACCATAAGAATGAAGAACTCCAGCATCAGCATTAGACACTTCCATGTAAAACAGAGAAGCCTTTGATGAATACGTTTGCCCTTTCTGATAAGTCATTTCTCGGATCTCGGTTCCCTTATCCATAAAATGGGGCTAATCTTTGTTCTTCCCGCTAATGGATACGAGGAGTAGTAAGTGACATAATATATGTACAGCATTCAGGTATAATAAAGTTCCAGTATAGAGTGTACTTTCTTATTTGCATGTCATCAGATCGTAGGCCCCTACTCCTGTTTCTTGCCCGAATTTAGCCATTTGGCTGTAGAAAATGATAGCAGTGTCCATCCATAATAGAGTGAGCTTTGCAAGTTTTTAAAAAGATGTATTTATTTCTTTCAGAGAGAGCACGAGCAGGGGAAGGGGCAGAGGGACAGGGAGAGAATCTCATACAGATTCCCTGATGAGCACGGAGCCCGACACAGGGCTCCATCCCATGACCCTGAGACCGTGACCTGAGCCGAAATCAAGAGTTGGACTTTCAACTGACTGAGTCACCCAGGCGCCCCTGAGCTCAGCAATTTATTGAGTATACCCAGTCCTGAGCTAAGCAATGAACACACACAATCTCATTTAATCTTTGCCATATTTTTACAAGGTAGATGTTCTCTTATTTGAAATGGAGATGCAGAATGAAAATAACCTGCAACATTAAAATATTAAGCAGTGTTTCCAGGGTCACGGAAGCAGGAACCACCAGAAAGAGAAATCAAACCCAAATGTATCTGTTTCTAAAGCTATGTATGTGAATATAACCTTCTGTGTCTGTGAATCTTGGGTGAAGAATCTCTCCTTGAAAAATATAATCTTCACCCAACCAACTACATGAATGAAAGGCCATTCCCTTCTTTAAAAGGAAAAAAGTCGGAGTAGTGAGGAGTGTAAGTAAATGGATGAGGGAGGTCTTGTCTCCTAGAAAAGTGTTTGAAGATACCTATGCAGTAAACTTAGGAAGGTTTTATTCTCAAAGAGCATCTGATCTGAGAGTGTACAAGAACCAGTATCATTGTATAAATGCAGGATCCTGCTTTGCAAGAACTGGAGAGCAATTTCCTAATACAGCAAAAGCTGGTTGAAGCTGCAAAGAAACTTGCCAACGAGCCAGACCTTTGTAAAACTGTGAAGAAAAAACGAAAGCAAGATTACACAGATGCAGTGAAAAAGCTTCAGGAGATTGAAAACGCGATAAATGAATACCGAATCAGATGTGGAAAGAAACCCAGCCAGAAAGCAACGGTTATTTTACCAGGTTCGTAATCAGTAAGGTTTTTCCAGTCACATAGTCAATGTTCGTGATGGTACGTAGCATTTCCAAGTTAGTTCATTTGGTGAGAGATAAAAGAAAGAACAGGTTTAAAAGTTAAGTTTCTTAGGGTAAAAATGGTTTGGGATGTCAGTCTTGCAAGTGCGTAAATGGGGTTTTCAGTGACATTCTCACTTTTGTAATACTATACTATTGCATTGCTTTCATTTTGAGGATGAAGGAGCATTCATAGCAATATTGGTTTGTAATCCCCTTTAACTGGCCTGACATCACTGCAGGAAATAGAGTATAGCACAGAGTGGTAAGAGTGCTAGGCCTACCCAGTCGTTTCTCAAAGGTTTTTCATGCAGGGACATAACATTTTTTTTAAGAACCTATCTAACATTTGTGAAAAGAGCTCTTACCATCCTGTCATTGTGGAGGCTATTTAAAGCTGTGGACAAATGCTTGTGATAGAACATGAAATGCAAAGGGTATTAAACCGTAACCACAACATGATCCTGACGTCGTATAAATATCTACATACAACAACTGGTTGGGAAATATTTCAAAATACTAGTAGTTGTGGAATTTCAAGTAACTAATTTTTCTTTTAATACTTTCTGTATTTTCAAAAATTCTCGACATTATATACTTACGATTTTCATATTCAGGAAAAAAAATACACTGAAAATCTCGTTCAGGTAGATTTCAAGTCCAGTTGGCCTTACTTTATCGGCATGGTTTTCAGCCTTGATTGTTGGTTGAAATATGATTATATTTCTTTGATTCCAAGACTATTTTTTTTCACATTTAAACATCTGTGAAATTTGAATAATTTGTATACTAGATGGTGTACTACAGTTACAATTGGCAATACTTTTTCTTGTTTTACTGAAACATAAAATAATTATATATGTCAGACTGGATGAAATGTGGTGACTAGGTTTAGCGCATTCTCGGGTTTAGGGCGGTATGGTTTATAAAGCAGAGATACGGCTTTTGGAAAGTGAATACACAGACATCAACACACAAGTGTTCGTCAGCTACAGCTGGAGAATTTAGGATGGCTTTGACTCTGAATGAGAAATCCAGTTGGCTTTGGAGGTGGTTACATTCTGGACCTACAGAGATGGGTGATTAGCAGTGTACTTAACTTTCATAACCATTTGTTGTGGCCCATTCATCCCCAAACTGTGCAAGATTTGAGTGATCTCCTTTACAATGAGTGACATTTGGGCAGCAGATGGTGCCAATGGTTGAGCATATATTGGGTAGATTTTTTTTTTTAAGTGTGCCTGACAGCTGACTATGCTGGCACCTTGCCTTCAAACGCCACTGTGTGTCCAATTAAGAGATAGTCTGCCCGGCTCTGATGGAGATTAACATTTGAGATCAGATGGGAGAGATTCCCTTCCTAATGGCATTGAAGCCTACACGAAGGTGCTGTATTTGCCTGTAACCTTGCCAGGACTTGACCCTGTGTGTGGAATGATTTGCCAAGGCGGATCAACACATCTGAGATGACTCTTGTTGCTAAATACATTTTTTTTTTAAAGATTTATTTATTTTTTTGAGAGAGCGAGAATGAGAGAGAGTACATGAGAGGGGGGAAGGTCAGAGGGAGAAGCAGGCTCCTCGCTGAGCAGGGAGCCTGATGCGGGACTCGATCCCGGGACTCCAGGATCATGACCTGAGCCGAAGGCAGTTGCCCAACTAACTGAGCCACCCAGGCGCCCGCTAAATACATTTTTTAACATCTGATGAGCAGCAGTAATACTTAGGAGCATTATGGGTATTTCCAACCACCAGAATGCTGTGTCTAGGTAATAAAAGCAAACCTACAGCTAATATTTATTGAGTGTTTGTCCTGTACAAGGAGCTGGGCTAAGGCTTTACATCCATTATTTTAATTACCATCCACCTCAGCAGTGCAAACTACGTACTATTCTTATTCCCATTTTAGTTGAGCCAAGTGATGGTAAGAGGGATTAAATCATTTGCCCAAGGTCTCACAGCCAGTAAGTGTCAAAACCAAGATGGGAACCCAGGTCTGTCTAATTCAGTGGTTCTCAGCCAGGAGCAGTCTTGCACCCCAGGGAATATTTGGCAATGTGTACAGACATTTTTGGTTGTCAAAACTGGGCATGGGGGCGCCTGGGTGGCTCAGTTGATTAAGCGACTGCCTTCGGCTCAGGTCATGATCCTGGAGTCCCGGGATCGAGTCCCGCATCAGGCTCCCTGCTCGGCAGGGAGTCTGCTTCTCCCTCTGACCCGCCTCCCTCTCATGCTCTCTGTCTCTCATTCTCTCTGTCTCAAATAAATAAATAAAATCTTTTAAAAAAAAAAAAAAGAAAGAAAAGGCCCTTTTCTTCAGGGAGGGGTCAAAAAATAATTTATACTAACAGCAGATTTTCAAATGAGGGTTCAAGTGTATTTTACAGAACATTTAGCATTTATGACATGAATGGCATGATTTTTCTTTCCAGTTTGTTGGGTGTAAGCCCTCAATGTATAAGGTAAAGTCTTCATCCCATGTAGAAGCTAGATTGAACTAGTTGAAAACAAAAAACTGCCTTGAAATCGGTCCCATTTTTCTTAAAGATTTTATTTATTTGTTTGTTTATTTATGTATTTATTTAGCGAGTGCATGAGTGGGGGAAGGGGCAGAGAGAGAGAGAGAATCTCAAGCAGACTCTGTGCTGAGAGCGGAGCCTGATGTGGGGCTTTATCTCACAACCCTGGGATCATGACGTGAGCCAAAATCAAGAGTCAGATGGTGACTGAGCCACCCAGGATCCCCTAAATCTGTTCCATCTTAAGAACTAGTCCAGTGTCATATTTGTACAATTCCTAAGATGTTTATATCTTTACTAGTAAATGATCCATTCTTATGATTCCATTCTTATGATCATTAATTATTCTTAATGCACTGTAATTAGTTATACTTACTAAATAAAAATAAGATGGACTCTATTGAGAATTGCTTTATTAAATTCACTGTAGGTGTGTAAATGCTCTGTGATTCTAAAGGCACTTATTTTTATTCACAGAAGACATAATCCCATCAGAGAGCAGCTCCTTGTCTGACACTACCACCTATGACGATTGTGAGTAGCTCTTCTTTTTCGTTTTAAAATGTTATATATTCTGAAATACTAAGACAGTTTCTTTAAGTAAAGCCGATGTGTTATTCTTTTGGGAGAAGTAGAATGAACTAACTTACATTTATGCAGAATGGTTGGGGAAGGGAGATTATGATTAATTTCTACCAAGGCTAACTACGCATTAAATACAGTAACATACAAATCACTTGAACTTAGGAAATCAAAATACTATTACACAACTAAGCCAGTCTCTCAGTAAGGGTTTGTGAGCCTCTATAGAATTTTTTTATTAGCATTTTTATTTACTATTATTATTATTTATTTTTTTTTTTTTTTTACTTTTAAGTAGGCTCCACGCCCAATGTGGGGCTTGAACTCATGACCCTGAGATCAAAAGTTGCATGCTCTACTGACTGAACCAGCCAGGTGCCCCCCTGTAGGATTTTTTTTTTTATGTTTTCTCTTGAAGTAATTACAGGTTCACAGGGAGTTGCATAGATAATTCAGAGTCTTTCACTCAACTTTTCCCAATGGTGACATCGTATATATTTGGAGTCTAATCTCAAACTGGAAAATACAGCATAGACTTTGATTATCCCTGTATTCTGGATAGCTAGGAGTTTATTTTCCTTAGGAAGAAACTGGGTTTCATGTCATTGTATTGGTTTCATAGAGGAACGCCATATCTGTTGGGATGGCCTGTGTTTGTTCAACACATTTTATGATGGAATGGATTTCATATCGAATGGTAGAGTACTTCCTTGGAATCCCTGGTGCTTAAGCAGAGGAGTGACTCTGTCTGATATGATTTAAAGAATTCTGGGATGCCACTAACCCATACAGCATTATCTCCCCCATCCCCACCCCAAGTTTGATGGTGCATGAAACTCCACCATTCCAAAATTCTTCCTTTGAGCTGAAGTTGGGTCATGCTTGCCATTCCTCTTTGAAAATGCACATGTCAACAGGAGACGTAACAGGTCTCTAATGACTCAGCATAAATCAGTTATATCACTTTCAACGACAGGATGAGCCTCTGGTCAACGAAAGAGGTGTAAGAACTTGAAACGTGAACAAAAGTGATCCACACCAACTTTACAGGCCAGCTTCCTTTTGGCCCTATACACACTGGGGTTTTTCTTTAATATAACTCTAGAAAAGCTATAGTATCACCCATTTTACCAGAATGATTTCTTTGCTCAGAGTGGTACCTACTAAACTGGCAAAAGTTGGATCAGGCCCACAAGAGAACAGGTGACCCTTGAACTATGTGGGGGTTACGTGTGGCCACACCCCCCATGGTTGAAAATGCAAGTATAACTTTTGACTACCCCAAAACTTAACTACTAACAGCCTCTGTTGGCAGAAGCCTTATTAATTTAAACAATAAACACATGTTTGTATGTTAAATGTATTATATACTGTATTCTTACAGTCAAGTAAGGTAGAGAAAAGAAAATATTAAGAAAATCATAAGGAAGAGAAAATGCATTTACTATACTATACTATATTTATCAGAAAAAAAAAATCCGTGTATAAGTGCATCCATGTAGTACAAACCTGTGTTGTTCAGAGGTCAGCTGTATTCAGTAATTTCCGTTTTCTAGTGTATACAGTATAAAAATAAATTTCCTGAAAGTAATACACTTCTAAAAACATCAGATCTTCTGATTTGGTTTTTGGAGGGCTGGCAAGGTATTTATTGCCTTATTTATTTACCTACTTACTTATTCATTCATTCATTTACTTATTATAGCTAATGACACCTTCGCTCTTGCCGGGCAGCGACCAAGTTCAGTACCTCATTCTCCAAGAATTCTTCCCCCCAAGTCTCTCGGTATTGAGCGAATCCATTTCAGAAAGTCGTCCGTCAATGAACAGTTTGTGGAGACCAGGCAGTCCAGGTGAGAAGTCACAGCATTAATAAGGCAGATGCCTCATAGCCATGACACCTTTCCTCCAAAATAGTTGGCCCTTTTTGGATTTACCGTATTTGTCCTTTCGGAAGGGGTTAGCTTGCAAAACAAAGCATAGAAACTAACCCCGTTATTTGTTGTTGACAGCAAGTGCAAGTGTTTCTAAGAGATCTTTTCAAAGCATTTGGCAGTTTCCTATATTTTAAAGTCTGCTGGATTTATGTTAGGTTCCAGGGGCATTATTTATAATCTGGATTTGGATATAATGTCCTAAGTTCAGTTTCAGAACCCATGCTCTCAGGAAACTGACATTAAATACCACTCTATCAGTGCAAGTGACAGAAATGACTTCTGATCTTTCAAATAGAAATGAGACTTCAACTCATTTTTTTTTTTTTAAAGATTCTATTTATTTATTTATTTGACAGAGAGAGAGATAGCGAGAGCAGGAACACAAGCAGGGGAAGTGGGAGAGGTAGAAGCAGGCTTCCCGCCGAGCAGGGAGCCCGATGTGGGACTCGATCCCAGGACCCTGGGACCATGACCTGAGCCGAAGGCAGACGCTTAACGACTGAGCCACCCAGGCACCCTCAACTCATTTTTAATCTGTTAAATAGACAATATGACTTTTTTCTCAAATGTCTCAGGTAAATATTATCTGGGCAATAACACCAGATTTTAAAAAGATGACAGACCAGTGATTCTCAGAATTTGGCTGCATGGATCAATACTACTAAAAAAAAAAAAAGAAAAATAGGACCCAAGATAGGATTACCAAATGTTTACTCTGCCTAATCAGAATGTTCAAATAAACAATGCCATGATTTCAGGGAAAAAACGACATGTAATTATCAAAAAAATACAGCCATTGTCATAATAATAATAAAATGAAGTTAACATCTATGGAATGCCTACTGTATATCAGGCACTGTTCGAAGTGTTTTAATATGGATTAATGAATTTAATCTGTACTGCAATCCTGGTGGTATGACAATTGTCATTACCATTTACAGATAAGTACACTGAGGACCAGAAAGCTTGAATAACCTGTTGGGTTCATGTAAAAGTTGGAATCGGGATTTGAACCTTTTTTTTTTTTTTTTTTAAGATTTTATTTATTTATTTGAGAGAGAGAGAATGAGAGACAGAGAGCATGAGAGGGAGGCGGGTCAGAGGGAGAAGCAGACTCCCTGCCAAGCAGGGAGCCCGATGCGGGACTCGATCCCGGGACTCCAGGATCATGACCTGAGCCGAAGGCAGTCGCTTAACCAACTGAGCCACCCAGGCGCCCGGATTTGAACCTTTTAACCAATATGTCACACTGCATCTCAGTGGAGGTGTTGGAAATTAGTCTTAAAATAAAGGAAGATTATTTAGATTAAATAATTCTTCACTTATGAAAATAGCACCTTGTTATATTTCTCCTTTGTCGAAGACCGTATCAGGCCCCTCTGTTAGATTAGCACTTAGAACTGTTGCCTTAAACAATAGAAATCCAAGTGTCTAGAACTGTGCTGGCCAGTTCAATTAAAAGTAAATAAAATTAAAAATTCACTTTCTCAGTCGTGCTAGCCACATTTCAAGTGCTAATGGGCGCACATGTGGGCTAATGGTTATAATATTGGCATAGATATAACACATTACCATCATTGGACAGCCCTGGACAAGTATATTTATTATATTAGGGAAAACAAAGCTATTGCAGTAAAAGGAAAAATTATAACCAGAAATCATTATCTTAAAAATTACTATACCTACTTCCTTAATAGCTTAAGATGGGTTTGCTCTGTGATCCAGCAATTTCACTTAGAGGACTTTTTCCTATTGAATTAATTAAGTACAGGATGCTCATCACATTATTGTTTACACTAGTGACAAATTGAAAACAACCCAAATGCTCAACTAGTGAATTGTTTAAATAAATTATAAATCCTTACAGTGGAATGTCATACTGTCATTAAAATAACATTATGAATGAATATTAACCAACACAAAACATTAGATAGTTTTTTTAATGTGGGTTTTGAAGGAGAATATAGGGTAAGATAATATTTTTTTGTTGTTAAAAACTGTAAATGCCTGTAAGTGTGCTTAGTAAAAATATCTGGCTATATCCGAGGCTTCCAATTATAGATATTTAAATTTTTCTTTTTTATCTGTATTTTCAGAATTTTCTGCAATGAACTTGACATGCTTTTGTAATAAGTAAAAATGTAATCAAAGCCACATTTAATTAAAAAATTAACTTCAAATTGTGTTCTCACTGTGCTGGGTAGTGAACAAAATGATTTAAAGATGTTGCCTTCTAGTCCACGGGCCTGCAGACAACAGCCCATTGGCCAGATCCATCCTGCGACTTATTTTATATTTTTATATGGCCCACGAGCTAAGAATAGTTTTTATTATTTTTAAACAGTTGGAGGGGAAATCAAAAGCAATAGTATTTTGGGACGTGAAAATTACACGATACTTGACTTTCAGTATCCACAGTCAATCTCTATTGGCTCACAGCCACCCCCATTCATTTACATGTTGTCTACACTGCTTTTGTCCTTCAAGGGCACAGTAGAGCAGTAAAGGACTGGGACATCTGGCCTGCAAAGCCAAAAATATTAACTATTAGACTCTTTACAGGAAAAGGCTTTGCTGCCCCTGCTCTAGTTGCTTTCGATCTCTTTTATTCAATATACTCTTTTTTAAAAACACTTTAATCATTTTCCTTCATCCGTATGACTCAGAGAGATCAAGGATACTAAAGCACAAAGGCACTCTGCCCCGTTTTCTCCAATGCTCCTTTCCTTCAGCTTCCAGTAAGTTTCAGATCGCCTGATGACGAGTTTGCCAGAGATGTCGCGAGGCTCATCATCTCCCGACTTCTTCTTTTCCCCATCACAGGGAAATGCTGTCGACACATGGCAGCCCTTACAAAACCCTGGAGCGGCGGCCCCCGGGCGGACAGAGCATGCCCACCACCCCAGTTCTGACCCGCAACGCCTACAGCACCAGCCACTTGGAGTAAGAGCACTTCGTTCCAATGACTTTGCCGCTGTTGGTTTTGCTTTCCTTTGTTGTGCGTCTTAATCATTTTAAGGCAGTTGATTCACCAGGACTGTGTTACAGATCTACATTTTCTACTTAACGGGTCAATGACGTTGGCAAAGAAAATGTATTGAAAAATATGCTTTGAGCGGGTAGATAGGAGATTTGTGTGTGTGTGTGTGTGCGCCTTAATTTTCCCAACCAGACATCACTGTTTGCTATTCAGTGGTGAGGATGAATATAATGACTTGAGCAACACTTTGACGTCTTTAGGGAAGGTTTTGCTAGCTCTTTTATATGCCTGATATTTTTTCTAATTTTTTTAAGATTTTATTTATTTATTTCTCAGCGAGAGAGAGAGAACACAAGCAGGGGGAGCGGCAGACAGAGGGAGAAGCAGGCTCCCCACTGAGCAAGGAGCCCGATGCGGGGCTCGATCCCAGGACCCTGGGATCATGACCTGAGCCGAAGGCAGAGGCTTAACCGATTGAGCCACCCAGGCATCCCTATATGCCTGATATTATTCAGTCCACACAACAAGCCAAACTGTAGATCTCAGATCCTGTTTTCCCTCCTCATTTTACGGATGAGGATTGCAAGAGGTTAAATGTCTTACCCAAGCTGGCACAGCTGGGAGATGGCAGAGCCATGACTCCCCCAGATATGTCTGGCATCAGAGTCAGGCAGTGCTCCCTCCACCCTGTCTGCATCTCCTGCTATCCTGTTGGAAGAGAGGAACCTCCAAAGATGCGCTGGGCTTTCTTTTTAGGCTTTGATGCAACTTGTGCATCATCAATTTATATCTTCCCTCCTTTCGAGTGAGGCTTGGGAGTGCATGGTTGTTAGAACCATTTGGACCATGACACAGTGAACCTGTGTGGGAACCAAGGGATTGTGTGAAAAATGGATTCTCTTGTGCAGTCAGCTTTGGAAACCTTGAGTCTTATGGCAGTTCAAGGGTGATTAAATCCTTCAACGCCATGTTCATTTTGTAAAATTTCGGTCCTTCTTTCATTCTTCCTCTGTCACAAATTGGCCTCTCTCCTCCTGCAGACCCGAATCTTCAGCCCAGCACTGTCGCCAGCGCAGTGGAAGCCTTGAATCTCAGTCTCACCTGCTGTCTGAGATGGACAACGATAAGCCATTTTTCTCCCTCTCCAAATCCCAAAGAAGCAGTAGTACGGAAATCCTGGATGATGGGTCTTCCTACACCAGCCAGTCAAGCACAGAGTATTACTGCGTGACGCCCGTCGCCGGCCCCTGTTACACTACCCAGACTCTGGACACTCGTGCCAGGGGCCGGAGAAGGTCCAAGAAACAGAGTGTTTCGACTTCAAATTCAGGAAGCATGCCCAACCTAGCACAAAAGGATAGTTTGAGGAATGGCGTCTACACAAAGAGCCAGGAACAACCTTCTTCTGGTTACTATATTGCTGGGTACACACCCTATCCCGAGTGCGATCTTTATTACAGTGGCGGCTACGTCTATGAGAACGACACGGAAGGACAGTACAGCGTCAATCCTTCCTACCGGGCCTCGGCCCACTACGGCTATGAGCGCCAAAGGGACTATAGCAGGTCCTTTCATGAGGATGAGGTCGACCGGGTGCCCCACAACCCATATGCAACTCTCCGGCTGCCCAGGAAGGCTGCTGCCAAGTCAGAGCACATCACCAAAAACATCCACAAGGCCTTAGTTGCAGAGCACCTGCGTGGCTGGTACCAGCGGGCCTCTGGGCAGAAGGATCAGGGGCACAGCCCACAGACTAGCTTTGACTCAGACAGGGGATCGCAGAGGTGCCTGGGGTTTGCGGGGCTGCAAGTACCCTGCTCTCCCAGCAGCCGAACATCCTCCTACTCTTCCGGTAAGAATACTGCCTACTCACTTGATCCCCAGATCGAATTTACCTCCTGTCCCCCGCCCACCCTCCCCCCAGACCACTCCCCTCAGGGATCACAGGACCAGTACCCAAGGTCATGACACTGGTAGCCATTCCGTGGGGCCACAGTAAGAATTGCCAACTGAAACATAGTTCTTTCTCTTCGGCTTTCCAAAGAACACAGTCCACAGGAGTCCAATGGAGCAAACTGTAGATTCCAATCCAACAAGCATTCATTGAGCACCTATTCTGTACCCTGTGTTAGGGGCTTTCTTTCTTTTTTTTTTTTTTAAAGATTTTATTTATTTATTTAAGAGAGAGAATGAGATAGAGCATGAGAGGGGGGAGGGTCAGAGGGAGAAGCAGACTCCCTGCCGAGCAGGGACTCGATCCCGGGACTCCGGGATCATGCCCTGAGCCGAAGGCAGTCACTTAACCAACTGAGCCACCCAGGCGCCCTTTTTTTTTTTTTAAAGAGGGGCTTTCAAATATTCTATCTTTTCCCCATGTCATTAAAGTGTTCAGGTCACTGGTGTTTGATATATTTTTAAAAAATAGAGTTAATCCGTCAGGTGAGCAGAAAGCATTAGGATTATGCATCCTTCCCTGTTCACCAGCAGGAACTTGATCTTCTAAAGGCAGTTTGTTTTGAATGTTCGGGTAGCTGTGTGAGGCTCTTAGTAATTCTGATGGGAGCCAGTAATTTGTAAGCCCTGTTCCTGGCACTGTTCTACGTGCTTCACGTGCCTTGACTCAATTCAGTAATCATATATACTCTGCTTTAGGGTTGATGGAAGGGATTTTCAAAGATAATTTTGGTTAGAGATGTTCCCTCATGCATTGACTTGGGCCCCTCACTCCACTAAAATCCATGGAGTACTTACTGCTTACCCCTCGCTGAGTAGAGAAATGAGGGGAAAGAGGAATATCTGTCTCTGGTTACATTGATTCAACAAACAAGCAGGCATGTCCCAGATGCTGAGGAGCCAGGGTTGACCCAGTTTTGGCCTTGAGGAGCTCACGGTCTAGTCAGCAGCCAGAGGAATGTATGCAAATTAAGCAATTTCGAGGCTCTAAAACGAATGAGTTCTTGAACTACGTGGAAACCTGAGGTCCTATGTTCTTGCCCCTCTTTCAGGCATGACCCCTTAGTAGGACACAGCACAGGGATTCCTGAATCACATTGTAATAGTTGGTGAAAACTGTGCCTTTAAAAGTATCCTAAGCTTGTTGACCAGAGGCATTTCCATGGAGATTTCTATTTGGGTGTACGGTCTCTTCTGTTTGTGTAGGACTTTGGACTTCCACTAGGGCTTTCCCACTTATTACCACATCTACCATACAAAAAGCCTCCTGTCCTTACTCCTGGTTATTTATGGCTCATCTCTAGAGAACGCCTTTCTTCCCCCTAACGTTCAGGGCACTGCATGAGAATCTTTCCAAAAACAAACATGGAGAGGGTGTTAGAAAGAAAGAACAAACAAGGAGGGCTGAGATGCATAAGGATGGTCATCAGGGCCCAGGGCTGGGGTGATGCCTTTTTAAGCAGGGAGGCTGGAGAGGAACAGGCATCCTTCCAAAACCACAGCATTACTGCCGGTTGGCTCCGTGCCTGGGGCAAAGGTAAGAATGGAGTGAGTGCTTCTCGATTCACACCCAGTAGGACCCTGGCTGGTAGCCGTAGGATTTGGCCCCACAGACCAAAAGGCATTCCATCCATGTTAAAGAATTAAAGGGATGGAATTAGAGCTCATTCCTGTCTACATTTTATAGCTACAAAAATGTATTACAACAGGCATGCATCATGGAGAGTTTCCTGTTATTTGCCAAAGTAGTCAGGGGTTTTGTAGCTCCTTCTAGCCATCTAAAGACTCTCTTGGTGACTCCGTTTTAGAGTAATGACAGCCACCATCTCTTGGCAGCTTCCCCTGGGCCACGCCGCATGCTTGGTGCTTCGTGTGCACCATCCCATCTAATGTGTGCAAACAGTTGGGTACTGTGAGCACTGTTGTTAGGTCTGTTATTACTGTCCTCATCTTGCAGCCGAGGCAGTTCTGGTTCAGAGAGTTGAAATGACCCTGGCCAAGCCCCAGAGCCAGTAAGTGCTTGACGCCTTAACCACCATGCTTTACAGCCCCTGACTCAGAGTTATGAAACATTCTTAGAAACTCGAAGTGAGAGAATTACATCTTTGAGTCAGAACCTCATGGCATCCAGGGCCACAGATGAGTTTTGAAAGGCGTCCGCCATACGCTGGTCACCAGGGCTTGGTGGGTGTGAGAAAGAAGACAAGGAAGGTGGCTGCCAAAAACAGGAAATGGAGGGGAGCTGGAAGGATCCTTGAGCAGTGCTGGCCTTGGACCACCAGCTGGGCGTTGTGGTCCCCTTGTGCGTCCTGGGCATGGAGCAGGACTGGTTTTAGAGAGAGGACAACAAACGCCCTACAGTGAGACATTCACTGAGCTTTGCTCCCAAATGGTGCCCTTGTCTTGTTCCAGTTCAGTCCCTCAGTAGAACTAATTCCCTCCTGTACTGGTTACCCTCCCGCCCCTTCCCCCCCACACACTTTTTCTTTTAAGGCAAAAAGTATGCGTTGATCCTGCTAGTGGCTGCCGTTGCCTTGGGCCAAGGAGCAAGTCGTGACCCAACAGGGCAACTTACAGAGTGCTTTTCCTCCAAAGACCTCCAAGAAACTCAAACTGGTCATCTTTTCTTTACAAATAAAGCCTTATCTATCCAGCCACCTAGCCAGAATGGAGAGACTCTCTCCATATATGAGAATGTTTTTTCTACTTGTCTTTTAGGTTATTTCTTATAGCATGCCTTTCAGTTAACTTTATTCCCATTAATAATATCAATAGTTATCGGGCGCCTGGGTGGCTCAGTTGGTTAAGCGACTGCCTTCGGCTCAGGTCATGATCCTGGAGTCCCGGGATCGAGTCCCGCATCGGGCTCCCTGCTCTGCAGGGAGCCTGCTTCTGCCTCTGACCCTCCCCCCTCTCATGTGTATTCTCTCTGTCTCAAATAAATAAATAAAATCTTAAAAAAAAATAATAATAATAATATCAATAGTTATCATTTTGGGGGTGCTTTCTTTATACCAGGCACAGTGCTAGACATTCTCATATATAACTTACTCAATCCTGGTATCATCCCTATACAGGATATATTTGCATTATTATCCCCACTTTACAGGTGAAGAAACTGAGACTTAAAGAGAATAAACTATTTGCCCGAGGTCACATGGCCAGTAAGTGACTAAATTGGATTAGGAACTCTATTGATTATAAACACTGGCTCTTAATCTCTGCACATAGATGATTATAATGTACACTTAAATGGCCTAAACAGTCTTTGCTTTGAATATTCCCACTAATTTTGTCTCTTTCCATTTTTACTTCTAGTATCTTCTACAAACACTTCTGGAAACTGGAGGAGCCAGATAGCTGTAGGGCTATCTGACTACGAGACCCCAGCACATTCTTCCTACACCAGCTGCTACGGCAACATCTATAATCCTTTGCCCTCCCCGGGAAGGTGAGAAACCAATGCTCCAAAATTCTAGTAGCCTGTTCCTGGTCAGAACAATTGAGGAATTCATTTTTTTTTTTTTTTTTTTTTTTTTTTATGACTGCTCAAGGATCATCAGACTATAGCCTATGGGGCCCAAACCAGCTGCCACCTGTTTTTGTAAATTAAATTTTATGGGAAAACGGCCATGTTCATTCACATACATTTTATCTATGGCTGTTTTTGCACCATGAGGGCAGAGTGGAGTAGCGACAGAGCCCTCGTGGCCACCAAAGCCAAAAATATCTGGCCTTTTTAAGAAAAGGTTTGTTGACTCCTAATCTAGATTGTTCGAATTTGACTCTGTTCCTCGTCTTCTGTAAGGTCTTAAATTCTGTGTCTGGCAGGTTTTTTTTTAATTGCAGTACTTTAAATGGTATTACTGATATATCCATTTAAGACTCTCCTGGAACCTTGGAGGAAAAATATCTCTGCTCCAGAAAAGGCTGTTCACATCAAAATTCCTCATAGGCAGTTGGTGGGCTTGATTTCAGTGAACATTTGCTGCCTTTTTGTGTCTGATCCTGTGTTCCTTAAGAAGCTACAGACACAGGGGCGCCTGGGTGGCTCAGTTGGTTAAACGACTGCCTTCGGCTCAGGTCATGATCCTGGAGTCCCTGGATCGAGTCCCGCATCGGGCTCCCTGCTCGGCAGGGAGTCTGCTTCTCCCTCTGACCTTCCTCCTTCTCAAGCTCTCTGTCTCTCATTCTCTCTCTCAAATAAATAAATAAAATCTTTAAAAAAAAAAAAAAAAAAGAAGGTACAGACACAGACAGTTGTCCTATTTGTAATCGTGGTTCTTTGTAAACATTAGGAGGAAACATACAAGAACAATTCGTTAAAATGTGATTTTAAAAAAAGATGGCTAACTCCGCATTACTTCTTTGTATATGCAAGAGGAGAGGAGTTTCTCACTTCTTTGTATATGCAAGAGGAGTTAAGTATGAAGAGGTCATTTCTCCCTATCACTTTTCACAGGATATAATTCACACCCATCGTGCCAAGAAATAGAGCATTTTCTGTTTGTTTTTATTTAATTTTGCTCTAGGTCAAATTGCTTCAGGCATAGGGAGACTTACACAGACAATAACTTATCAAAGTGTCTAGCCTGGTGAGTTTGAGAGGTGAAATTTCTTTTCTTTTTTTTACTTCAATTTTTTATTTCAATTCTAGTTGATTAACCTCCATCAACCCTCAGTTTGTTCTCTATAGTTAAGAGTCTCTTATGGTTTGCTTTTCTCTCTCTCTCTTTTTTCCCTTCCATTGTTCATCTGTTTTGTTTCTTAAATTCCACATATGAGTGAAATCATAATTTCTTAATAAAGTACTCAGTGTTACAAACGAATTGGAGGTATTCGACCCCAAAGCCTTATTTTTCTTCTCCTTGTTCAAGGAGAGTTTTTCTTGGCTTGAACTATTAGGCCGATTGTCTCAACTCAACAAAGGGTGTGCTCAAAATAGGATTTTAGTGAAAATATACCTCAGGGGACTTCAGATAGCTTGGGTTTCTGTAAATAATGCTTGCAAATGAGTTACGAGCAAGAACTAAAATGGCTTTGGCCCAAAATTGGAGCTGCACTTTTTTAAGTCCGTTCTCATCGTTTTGTATAATTCATTTGCAAATAGTTTTCCCCACTTGTACACTTTTACTTTCCTTTTCACAGCCTGCATGAGAGATAATATAAAAGCGCATGAGACCGTTTGAAAATCCTTAACACTATTTTCACTGAACTCAGGAAGTACTAAACATTTTTTTTTTTTTAAGATTTTATTTATTTATTTGACAGAGAGATAGACAGAAGAGCACAAGCAGAGGGAGTGGCAGAGGGAGAGGGAGAAGCAGGCTCTGCACTGAGCAGGGAACCCGATGCGGGACTCGATCCCAGGACCCTGAGATCATGACCTGAGCCGAAGGCAGACGCTTAACCATCTGAGCCACCCAGGCGCCCAAGTACTAAACATTTTTAGAGAAAGTCTGTTTTTACCAAGTGTGCCTGTCTATCTCAGAGAGCCAGCCCAAGATGGCTTGACGTGGAGTCTGATGTCAGAGGTGGGGTAATCTACAGGAAATTAGAAACTATTTAAAGATCCCTATTGTGTGTGCTCACACGCACATCATATGAGCTCATTGTGGAAAATTAGGAAAATAATAAAGGGATAAATAAGTAGGAAATCATTTACCCATAATTCTACCATCTAGAGGTGGTAGCTGTTAGCATTTTGACACATTCCCCCATTTTCCAGTGTCCATGTTTAACATGGTGGTAATGATACCCTTATGTGCAGTTTTATACCTTTCATTGTCTATGAACTTCTGCATCCCAGTGTTTTACTTAATATCGCAATATAAACATGTTCCCATATTTTTAAAAACTCCTTAAACCTTATTTTATGTGATCCACATGATATTCCACTCAATAAATATACCATACTTTATTTAACAGTTCCCATATTTTGAATTTGAATGGTTTTTAGATTTTTCTCTCTTTTTTTATTGTAATGCGGCTGTTAATGTCTTTGTGCAGAATATTTGTCTGAATTCCAGATTATTGCCTTAGGATACATTCCAATAAGTAGAATTAATGGAATAAATTGAAAAGTGAATTTTTTTAAGCCCTTGCTTTCCAGAAAGATTTGCCAATTTACCCTCCCAGCAACAGAGGTATGGGTGTGCTTATTTCCATTTATTTGTCTCTTTAGGATTTTTTTTTTTATTATACCTCCAAGTGATCAACTTAACTTGACCTACTAACAAAGCAAGTATCATAACAGCCATCCATTAAGTTTTAGAAATTTGCTGTAAAATTATGTTATTTTTGATGAAAACATAATTTTTAAAATAAGAGAGAAATTAGGTTTCAAGATAAAGATAAAAAGAAAACCTTTAGATCTGCCCTGAAGTTCAAGATTTGAGTAATTTTTTTTTTTTTTTTAAAGATTTTATTTATTTGACAGAGAGAAACATAGCGAGAGGGAACACAAGCAGGGGGAGTAGGAGAGGGAGAAGCAGGCCTCCCGCCGAGCAGGGAGCCCGATGCGGGGCTTGATCCCAGGACCCCGGGATCATGACCTGAGCCGAAGGCAGACGCTTAACGACTGAGCCACCCAGGCGCCCCTGAGTAATTTTTTAAACAAATGAAGTACATAGTATTTCAAGATCCTTTCCCCCGGAGTGTCTGGCTCTTAACATTTACAGAAAGCTACACATTTTTACCAATAAAACTTTGTTTCCAAGGATGCTGTGGTAGAATTGTCAGAGGCGTAGACTTTCTAAAATCATAAATGTCAACGTCCCTTATGGTCCCTAGTATATAATGCACTCAGATTCTTGGCTCTTTGTGTGCTACAAATAACTTTTTCCCCTTGCCTTCCTGTTTTCCATTTCCCATCCTCTTCCTTATCTAACTCTACCTCTACTAGGCAACACCGAGGGCTTCTGTCGCGGAGAATGGTTGTGTCTCCCGAAATGAGATCAGTTTTCAGTTCTCTTTTGCTCAGTGTAGCCAGCTGTAGTAAGTACAGCCCTCGGATCCGTCTGCTGCATCTTGCCTCGTAGCAGGAGTTTTGCTTGTTCTGGCTGATGTGTGAAGCTATGGAAATCTGACTTTGTGTTTATATTAGATGAGAACACTAAATACCTAGTTTCACATAGTATTGCTTTCCGCAGCTCTCCTTCCGGTGACTTTTTAACCATCTTGACTAAAGAAATGTAAAATAAAAAGAAACCTACTAACTATCTAACCTATTCTAGATGACTGTTGCAGGAATGAGGTTTTGCCTGTTGGAATGTTTTGTGTTATAGGATGCCTTCCTTTGGATATACCATCCAAGTATGCCTACGATTTTTGAATGTGGTGTTGTCTCCAATTTGTGTTCGGCCCATAGGCCCTAGGGATGTAAGATGTGTCCCTGGGTGCCCCTGCCTGCCACTAAATATATTCCTTTGTCCCTGAGGAAAGCATCTAGTATAGTCCCTTAATTTGAAGAATACTTAAAATGTGGCTCTGAAAAATACTTTTTAAAAAGTTAAAAACATGACTCTCACACAAAGAGAAAATAGGCATGTGTCAAAGATTTGTTTAACTCATTAATGAGAGAACTAACAGATTGGTAAAGCTGGTTCCAAGAGAATTCAAAAGACTGAATTGAACACACTGAAAGATAAAAGGCTGGAATAAGATTACTAAATAAGATTAAAAAACCAGTTAATGGCCTACAGGGCAATAAAACTATAACCGTAATCTTTTTATAGTAGACCAAAGTTATTTGTATTTCTTCCAGACAAAAAACCTACAAGTTAACATGTAACTTACCACAATCTGGATCCTAATCAATGTTAAATATAAGTGAGACAAAGGAATATCTCCCTAGAGAATTAAGTACACCTTGCATGGGCCTTTTCGACAATTCGCCAGTGGGACAATGAAAGAACACACCATCATCCTTTGCCTTGATAGTGCTTTCTACTAATTCTTTGAGTAGAGTCATCTTTGTACTCTGGTAATAAAAACGACCACAAGTAATAACTCTCCTGGTTTCCTTTAATAGACAGTATCCAGAGATCAGTCAACTGGACAGCACAGATGGAAGCCGGTTGGAAGACAGCCTGGAGAGCAGGGAGCAGAAGCTCTTTTGGCATGAAGATTCAAAGCCTGGAACATTAGTCTGAACTGCAGTTGGACCTCTTGACCAAGCACTGCATTCTCACACTAGTGTGCCTTGCAAAATGTGTTCGTCTTCCCAGAAAGCTATCCGGCTTTAGAAAGCTAAAGGCATCCAAGGTCGGAGAGACCCTGAACGACTTGCCCTTCCGACTCCGGGCACTCACGTGACAGAGCAAGGTGGAGCCATGGCCACGAAAGGACTCAGCGTTTATCATTAGCAAGCACTTTTTAAGGGAATAAAAGTTGTTGAAGGCAAACCGCAAAACTGTGAAAAGTGCGTTCAGGGTCCCCAACAGGAAAGAAGGACGCGAAATTTCAGAGCACAATCCAGAATGATGAGGAAAGGGAAACAGAAGCTCCTTAGTCATTAATCACCTTCAGAAAGTTTGGGTTTGTGAGCCGGTGAAGAATAACTTGGCTATCTCTACCCAGACATGAACAATTTAGACAGTATTGGAAAATTACTTGAAGAGAAGCTGGATTTTCATGAAGTTCTGAATGACTGTAAATGTTTTTAGGATATTATAAAGAGTGATGGTTTTCATAAGCCCCGTAAAATGGGTTCTGGAAAGACTTAGCATCCTGTAATATAACTTTATGGTAGCAGATTGGGGAAAACAAAGCAGCCCACTGAATAATTGACAAACTCTGCTTGGAGAATGTTCTAAGGTACAATATTATTGGGCTCCTTTTTTTCTTTCTATACCAATGGCCTGATAGGTGATTATTCAGGCTGGTAACTCTCCAATTTGGCTGCCATTTGAAATGGCAGCCCTGATATGGAAAGTTTTTCTAACCAAGAGTTTGAAAAAGTATTTTAAGGTCATACAGAAAGAACCCAAAACAAAATGAAATGAAAAAACAAAAGCCACAGCATTTTCAATGAATTGCGTGCCTTAAAATGGTGAACATTAGAAAAGTAAGCATATTGTCCAGATTCCACGGGGGGTTCTAAGTCACCAAATGACAAAAAACAAGATTAATCATTAAAAAACAAAACAAACAAAAACAAAAACAAAAAAACTCCAAGCTGCAGTAGATTTAATTATGAGGCTAAAACTACCTCATACTTTACTCGGAAGAACTAATTAGCTATGGTTTATTGTAGTGTTTTTAAAAAAAACAAAAACAAATATTTCCATATTCCAGATTGCTCTTTTTTGTCATCTTCACTTTGCTTCAATAGTCCATAAAAGGTGCTCCCTTCCCCCCCTTTTATACAGGTTTCATGTTCATATTGTGAATAGAGAAGTTTCTGAACAACTTTTTTGGAACATTTTCTATCTATATTCCAAAGCATGTAATATATACATAAAAATGCTTTGTTAAACTGGTCCTTAGTCATTTGTATCATTAAATATGAAGTTTGGGAGAAAAATTTGGAACAAAAAAGAAGACATGCAAAAAATAATAAGTTATTCCTTTTTGCATACTTGTATAGCCTCCTAGAAACAGAAATACCCTTTTGCATATTCTTTTACTGTTCTGACTTTTTAAGACCTATTATTTTTTTACATAGGTCAATAAACTGAGGTGTGCTACTGAAAATGTTTACGTATTCTTCCATTACATTCAGGGTTCAGACAAAGCAGTTTAAAGTGCTCTACTTCAAGTAATCATGTTGGACAAGATTGCGGATTTTTTGTTCTAGTATTAGCATATTTTATTGATGCCAAGATGCACATTTTTTCATATTTACATCTTTGAAATCAGGATGCATCTTTTGATGGATGGCATGCTCTCAATGAACTGGCAGTGTTTTTTTCTTTCTTAGTGCTACATAAAATAATGCTGTGTCCTACAATAAAGTTGTCTTAGAATTGATGAAATACGGTAGTTTATTGTCTCACTGAGGATGACAGATGTGAATTTTTAGGCTTCCTAATCTTGCGACTGTTGTTTATTTGTAACAAGTCATCCATCCTAGTTTTGCCGACTGGCAAACAGGTCTTCTAAATTCAAGAAAATGTATCATCTGACATCTATTTATCCTGCACAATGGGGAAAGGGAATGGGAAATGAAATGTAGGAAGACCTTAATATTTCTGTGCAAGTATCTCAGATGGAAATAACCTTCTTCTGTTTAAGAAAGGGAATGCTCAGAATTGCAAGTACACTTTGAAAGAATGCATGGAATTTGGCTCCCAAATGGTTAAAGAAGGTACAGAAATGGAAGCACAGTGGGCCTGCTGTTTGATTTTTTTTCCCCTGTCTTTTTAGGAAAACCTCTCTCTACCACATGTTTGGTATGTTTATTAATAACCAAAGCATGGCAAAGGTAAATTATTCAACATAAACCATTGATCTGTTTCTTATTACAAGATGTCATATTTTCCTGATAAAAATTTCAAATTAAAAAAATTTTAAATTCAAACACAAAGCAAATAAATAACATAAGAACATAATTATGCCCTGGAAGCCTAATGTTACCAGATGTAAGAATTGTTCATTTATTTTCTATTAGTTCACATTTTCTTCTATGCATACAGTATTGTTTTAAAAATTCAGCATCATATTGCAAGGACAGTTTACAACTTGTTTTTTTCACCTACCATATCTTGGGCCTCTCTGTATCAATATATATTGATCTACCTCATAAAGATGTATATTTTACAAGGTGGATTTTTTTCAATTGCCTCACCTTCCTTGCTGTTCATATTTTTTCCTATATTTGAGAAAATTCTTCAAAATTCTTTCTTGTACTCATATAAGCTTAATGTTACAAGTAATAAAGATTCCAGAATTGTTTCAAACTATTAGTTTGGCCTGTTCTTAGGAACAAAGGTTCAGACTAAGAGTTCCTTCAAATGTTAGTCCTTCAGAGCATTCAGGAGTGGAATAATGACTTTCTTCAGGACAGTAGAAAAGTTAGAATTCTTCTCTAGAGTAATTTTCAAAGGATCAGCGGTGAGAGACAAGTTTTTTAAATTTTCAACTATTAAAAAAAATTTTTTCAACTATTGTGGGCCTCTAGTTTTGTGAAGACGAAGATGAATTACTAAGGAAAACAAGTTAATTTAAAAAAATGAATTCCTAGGGAAGTGGAAAAAAACAAATAGATACAAAAATATACATTCCTGCTCATTATTAGATTCATCGGGCATAAAACTACTCTGTCGAGTCACAATCACAGATTCTAAACACGGACTCTTACTTTCTGTACTTACCGCAATTTACATTCCACTAACAGTTTCTTAACTCCCCGTGTTTCTCACTGAAGTATAGTTAACATACGGTGTGCTATTACAGGTGTACAATGTATCGATTCAACAATTCCATGCCTGACTCAATGCTCACGGTCGTAAGGGTATCTGGACCACCCTCTCTGAGTACCGCTAACTTGGAGCTCTTCACAGGAGGTTCCCATCCATGCATGTTAATAAGGCAAGTCATTCTTCATCCCCTGTTACCTCATAAGCCATGGAGCTGCAGTTCATCTCCAAAGAGAAAAATCTGTTTAACACATACACGGAGCCCGGTAGGATGCAAAACTTAACTCATCTTTCTGCTCAAACCCTTTACCTCTCGTGTTTCTCATGTTTCTCCCTCCAGCCCAGTCCCCTCCTCTGGGTCCTCATCGGACTCTTCTGCCTCCTCTCCACCCCCCATCCTTGTGCCACCCTGGAACAGCAAAAAGAAAAGTGTGTCCTGCTGCAGAAATGAGTTGGCATTCATAGATTTCCGGTTCAGCGTGTGCCGTGAAGTGCCGTGGGTATGAGCTGCTCCAGTCCCCACGACAGCCCAGTGACTTGATGTTCTCTCCATGTTACTGAATCTGAGAATTGGGAAGGGCAAGTCATTTGTCAAAAGTCGTGCAGCACTTGGGAGAAAAGCAGGAAATGGGTTTTGATTCGTCCAACACCAAATCCTAAACTACTGCAGCCTTGTTCCAAGAACAATTTCTCTGCAGTCTGGGTAGCAAACAAGATTTTTAAGAATATATTATAGGGGGCACCTGGGTGGATCAGTAAGTTAAGCGACTGACTCTTGGTTTCAGCTCAGGTCATGATCTCAGTGTCCTGGGATCGAGCCCGACTTCTGGCTCCACGCTTATTGCCGAGTCCCCTTGGGACTCTCTCTCCCTCTGCCCCTCCCCCCGTGCTCTCTCTCAAATCAATAAATCTTTTATAAAATATATATATACATATATATATAAATGAAAATTGAGTGACTATATGCTAAGCTCAGCTGTCCTTGTTTTTTGGTTTTTTGTTTTGTTTTGTTTCCATTACCAGTGGCAAAAAGGCAAAGGTGGGCCTCAGTCTGAATATAGGTGAAGATAACCCTTATCTGGGTTACTACCCAGCCTTGCAGCCTGGTAGGCTGCATTATTTATTGCTACGTGAGCTCATCAGTGGACCAAGTACATTTGTTAAATTCTTTTCAAGTCAATAAAATGTCTCACACCAGTGAATATACTTGTTACAATCACAGATAACCATAATGAGCTAAATATTGATCAGTAGCACTGAAAATATCTATCAATCTTTCTCCATTTCTGATGGTTCAGGGCAGTAGGATAATATGAAGTTTATATGCTCTGCTACCATGACCCCGAGGAGTCCTCTCAAAATTGACCTCTATCAGATGTATGTGCCCGTGGGCTTTCGCTCTTGATTCTCCTTGGAAAGAGTGAATCTGGGATTAATCCCCTATTAGAATCTGAGCCCAGTGCCAAAAAATCCTTCTAATACTTCCCACATTTTCTACTTTTGATGCCTCATGGAGTCTATCTCCCCTGCAAAAGAAAATAGGAACTATGCATCAAGATTTGTTTTAGCAGTACTTAGCTGATTCTTAACATCAACACACACACAAACACATTTTCTCCCTTTTCCTTTGCTTTTGAATATCAGCAGTCTTGACAAGAATGGTGTATTGGGACCAAGGGAATGGGGATGGGAGCTGATTTAACTTCTGAGTTTTAGATGATTATCTCTTCTTAAATGCTTGTTACACTTAAGAAGTGTCCAAGGTTAAAAGTTCTGTGATTTTCAACTAGGGCTGTACCACCAGCCATGGGGCATTTGGAAATGTGAATGTGTTGCTGTATTTTAGAATCCCTCAATGATTTGGAAATACTACTGACATATAGGGACCAGGGACATTAACCAGATACAAGGCATGGGATTGACCCATACAATAAATAGTTGTTCTATCCAAACTGCCCAAAGTGACCCCACTGAGGAACCCTGGGCGTCTTACCTAGGAAAATGTGTTAAATCCACTTCTATGGGTGCTGCCTTCCAGTGTTTGAAGGAGAGATTTCTCAATTCTGAAGGGAAGAAAGGAGATGATGGTTTCCTGAGGGTGGGAGAGAGATTGTATATGAGTTAAAAAGGTATATATCCAACAAATAGTAGAACACCGACGATGGCCACTGTTCCAGGCAGTGAGGATAGAATGTTTTCCTGAAGCTGGCTATCCAATCAATCAGGGAGAAACAGAAGTGACCAACGTGAATAACTTGGAAGGAACATTAGTCTTATGAAAGCCAAGCGTGGTGAGAAAAGAAAGGATGTAGATGATACCCTAGGTTGTTGGGACACAATGGGGTCTTTGGGGCATTGATGCTTCATCCCAGGCTTGGGGGTCGGTAAGAGAAGGTCCAGTTAAGCAAGAAGGAAAAGAAGCTCTCCCAGGGTTAAGAGAATGTCACCATGGGGGAGCCTGGATGGCTCAGTGGGATAAGTGTCTGACTCTTGATTTCAGCTTGGGTCATGATCTCATAGGTTGTGAGGTCAAGCCCTGCATAGGGCTCTGCACTGGGCATGGAGCCTGAATAAGATTCTTTCTCTCTCTCATCCTCTCCTTCTGCCCTCCCCTCTTAAAAAAAAAAGAGAAAGAGGGGCACCTGGGTGGCTCAGTTGGTTAAGCGACTGCCTTCGGCTCAGGTCATGATCCTGGAGTCCTGGGATCGAGTCCCGCATCGGGCTCCCTGCTCGGCGGGGAGCCTGCTTCTCCCTCTGACCCTCTCTCTCTCTCTCATTCTCTCTCTCAAATAAATAAATAAAATCTTTAAAAAAAAAGAGAGAAAGAGATTGTTACCATGACATCACCAAAGCCCTAAAGCGAGAAGCAACTTAGCCAGTTTCAGAAACTAAAAAAATAGGAGGACTTATTATTCCAGGATTGAAGAAGTATAGGTAATTAGAAAGAAAGCTGCCGGGGCGCCCGGGTGGCCCAGATGGTTAAGCGTCCAACTCTTGGTTTGGGCTCTGGCCCTGATCTCATGGTTGTGGGATCAAGCCCCATGTGGGGCTCCATGCTCAACGTACAGCAAGCTTGTCCCTCGCCCTCTGCCCCTCCCCCCACTCAAATAAATAAATAAGTAAAATCTTTAAAAAAGAAAGAAAGGTGCCATTTTTGAGTTCTCACTATAGTCCCAACAATGGGCTAAATGCTATCATTTGATTTAATCCTTCCTACAATTGTGTGACAAGGATGGTCTTAGCCCGGAAAAGGATATGAAGAGAGAGGCTCAGAAAGATTACCATGGCCTCAGTTACCAGACCACAGAGTAAGTTCTAAAGCTAAAAATTCAAACCATCTTTGTCTGACCAAACCTCATGCTCTTTATTAACCATGACATTATAGAAAAGCAGTTGCTCACCAAGTACTTCTGTTAAATGGAAGCCAAAGAAAATGACAAGAGAAAGGAAGGAGCAAACAAAAGAGCTGTCCTGGGTCAATGGGAGGGTTGGAAATCTGATCAGCAAGGTGAAAATAGGGGAAAAGACTGTTCAAGGCGGTTGGCAGTGCATGGGTTTTCAAGATAGGCACGTCAGACAGTTCTGATGGGGGTGTGGCTTGA